GCTCCCTGGCTGCACCATGCGGGTTGGGGTCGTAGCGCCTCCCCCCGGCTGCAAATGCCTCAGCCAAAGCCCCCCTGGCGCTGCCCCCCTGCCCTGGCTGCTCCCCCTGGAGAGGCCTCTGTGGCAAGGTGACCCCCACGCCGGACTGAGCAGGGGCCCCGGTTTTATGGGGACTGCCCCGATCTTCGGGGCTTTGTCTTATAGGGGCCCGATTCCCCCCCATCCGATGTTTCACACTTGCTCTGCGGTTCCCTGCTCCACGCTCCGGGGCCGGATTCTCCAGCTGGCAGAGCCAGCAGCGGCCTGGGAGGGAGGGGCTGGCAGACGTGGGCTGACACCTGTTCTAGCTGGTGCCCGCCTCTCCCCGGGGTGCAAGTCAGAGGCGAGTCCCACCTGAGGACACTCGGCTCTCCTTTGCCTACCACCTCCAGCCCTGCTCCCTCACTCTGCTTGGGAGGGCGGAGGCTGGCAGCCCCCCAGAGCTACCCCTTCACCCGGGCCTCCTCTCACCTGCCAGGAGCCCCACAGAGCCAGGCCCAGTGAGGCAAAGCACAGGGAAGATTTGCAGGCCTTTTCTCTCGCTGGCAGAGGCTGCGTTTGCTGCAGAGCTCAAAGCTTTTTGCAGGGCTCGCTACTGGCTGGGCAAGGAGCAGTGCCCAATGGGAAGGGAGCCAGCCATGCATGGGGGGGAAACGATGGCGGGAGATGGCCCTCCCCGTCAGTCCCCGAGTATCACAGAAGGAGAAGGAATCCAGCCCTTGCACTGTCTTGCCTTGCAAGCCTTTCATGATGCTCTTCCCAGACACCACTGAGGCCACCAGAACTCATCATGCAGCAATTCCAACCATCTCCCTTCTCTTGTTCTCCCCTGGCTGTGGCCTGGAGCCCTGAGGTCCATGTGACTAGGAACCGGCTACTCTTCAGTGCTAAGCACAGCTTGGCTGGGTGGAAGAGCTGCAGCAGGCCATGCCACGGCTCTGCCTCAGCTTCTCCATCTCTCAAACAGGGAGATTAGGGAAGGGTTAAGCTGATCTTTGGGTCTCCGACCCCTGCTTGAGCCAACGGTGGGTTTTGGATTCTCAGCGTTCACAGCTAAAAAGCATGAGCTACTCGGTGGCAAGCTGCCACAGTGCCTTCCGTGGCTGAATGACGGCCCCTACCGTATGTGGCATTTGCACAGACTGTGCTTTCAAAATACAGAGCTACAGGCCACCCCTCTGTAATGTCTGCAGTGTGGTGGTGGGGCGAGTGGGACCCATGGTATTGCTGTGATCCTTCTCCAGACCATCCAAATCATGAATGGCTTCATGCACATTGGCTTCGGGATTGTCCTGACGACTATCACCAACGTTTACACCTCTGTCTTTGTGATGGGAGAGATCCCGTTCCTGGGAGGCGTGTCTGTGAGTAACATCAATGGAATTGAATGAATCCAGGCTGGGCTGGCTTCCAATGGCCCTCCCATGCTCTCAACCTCTCCACCCACTTCAAAATGGCTTCTCATGGCCATCCCATGCTCTCAACCTCTCCACCCATGTCAAAATGGCTTCCCATGGCCCTCCCATGCTCTCAACCTCTCCACCCACTTCAAAATGGCTGTCCATGGCCATCCCATGCTTTCCCCTCTCCATCCTCCTTCAAAATGGCTTCCCATGGCCATCCCCATGTTCTTTCCTCTCCTCTCTCCTCGAGTTGGTTTTCCATGGCCATCCTACGTTCTCCCCTTTCCACCCAGCTCAGACTGGCATCCTGAGATCAGCCCATTTTTCTCCCCGCTCTGCCCACCTAGGACGGGGTTTGTATGACTGTCCCATGGCCAAGCCAGAAGGGCGTGTCCCCCACTTGCAATGGTTTTTCACGGCACATACAGGGGATTGTGATGCTGACAAATTAGATGCATTATGATGATGATTTATGTTGCAGTGTATCCAGTGGCCTTACTCCTGGACCAGAACTCCATGGTGCTAAGTTCTGTGCAGACGCTAAGCAAAAAGATGGTCCATGACCAGATCCCCAGGGGCATATAGGGACTTAATTCACTGATTTCAATAGGAGTTGGGTAACTCCATACCTTGGAGGGTCCAGGCCTTAGTGGCCTACTTGTCTTTCAGCCAGGCAGCAGAGACTTCTGATTGCTGGAGTCCAGAGAGGTAACTGCTTTCTGGCAGGAACAGACTCTTTCCTGAGCTTCTCATCCTGTTTGCCCTCGCAGGGGGAAGGGTTCCATGCTCCTGCCTCTTTTCCATCAGACTGGTCCCCCTAAGGGATCAGAATTTATCCCAAAGTGTGAAGAGACCCACAGCTTAGTAAGATGAGGCTATGAAGAAAGGCTAATGCAGTTCCAGGATGCATTGGGCAAGGTATTTCCAGTAGAGACAGGGAAGTGTTAATACCATTATACAAGGCACTAGTGAGACTGCATCTGGAACACTGTGTGCAGTTCTGGTCTTCTGTGTGCAAGAGCGATGAATTCAAACTGGCACAAGTGCCGAGAAGGGCTACCAGGATGATCTGAGGAATGGAAAACCTCCCTTCTGAGAGGCGGCTCGAAGAGCTTGGCTTGTTTGGCCCAACCGAAGGTTGTGATTGCTCTCTCTAAATACAGCAGAGGGCTAAATAGCAGGAGGAGTTAAGTTAAGCACTCAGAAGTGGACATAAGAACAAAGGGATATAAACGGGCCACCTACAACTTTAGGCTTGAGATTAAATGAAGGTTTCTAACCCTCTGAGAAGTTTTGGGGCAGTCTTCCAAGGGGAGCAGTGGGGGCTAAAAGGCTAACAGGACTGTAAGACTATCGAGGCTGAGCTTGTTAAGTTTAAGGAGAGGATGATATGGTGAGACTGCCTACCATGGCATGTAGGCAGTCTGCGACTGCTAGCAGCAAATATCTCCAGTAGCTGAGGTTGAGGCACTAGCTGGGGAGGCCTCTGAGTAACAAAATTCTGTCCCAGTGTCTAGCTGGTGGGTCTTGCCCATGTGCTCAGGGTGTAACTGATCACCATATTTGGGATTGGAAAGGAATTTTCCGTGGGGTCGGATTGGCAGAAACTCTGGTAGTGGTGTGTGAGTGTTGCCTTACCCAACAGCATGGGGCTTTTACATGTTTAAACTAGTGTAAATGGATTCTCTGTCATTTTAAGTCTTTACAGCATCTTTTGAGGATGTCAGTAACTCAGGCAGAGGCTGTGGACCCTCACGTGGATGAATGAGGGACTGTGGTCTGTGATGTGGAGGAGGCCTGACTAGAAGATCATGATGGTCCCTTCTGACCTTAAGGTCTATGAGGCCTTGAGACAGGAATGGCCGTCTACACTGTATTATACTGTTCTGCCACTAGGCAGCGCTGTGTGTGTTGTACCTTACCCTCCCAGAAGCCGCTCCTAACTGCATTGAAGGATTTTACAGTGTGCACCTCTGTTGTGTGCAATGAACCACTGCAGCCAGGCCATGTAGCAGCCCTGCAACCAGGCATGTACACGGCGCACCTGACAACGATCATTTCCCCTTCCCTATACAGTTCATCATTTCCGGATGCCTCTCTATCGGAGCTGAGAAGAGCCCGACCGAGTGTGCGGTAAGTCCTAGCACTTCTGCCCCTTCAGAGGCTTTAGTTTAACTCCACTGGAAGGGGGATGGAAGCAGAATACTAGCCACCTTGTGAACACAAAGACTGAATTCCTCCCTTCCTCCAGGAGGTGTGGTTTCTGGTGAGGGGAGAAGAAACTTTCCAGGGCAGGTGTGGAGTTCACATGAAGAATCTGATGGTAATTCAGGGCATCCCCTAATAGCACATGGTGGGATTTTGCTCTCCATTAAAATTCAGGGAGTGGAGAAGGATATTATGTTGCAGTCAAGCAGGTAGGTTTGTCCAAAGAGCCGAAAAGCCCTCCCTGTCAGCATTGAGATGTTTGTCTGAATGGGGAAACCCATCGCCTCAGACATTCCTAAGAGAGGAACACAACAGGGAGATAGATGCAGAGAGGCCAATGAGTTCTATGTAGGCTTGTAACCTTTGTCCACCAATAACAGTTCTCCGTTGCTGCCCTGTTATGGGGATCAGTAACCAAATCACGGAACAACTTCATGAGATCCAGCCGCACACCCAAAGTTCGCATGGTCCTCCAAACTAGAGGAACATAGAAACTGCCTCGCTGGATCAGATCCAAGGTCCATCTAGCCCAGACCTCTGTGTCTGACCTGTCCCTGTTGGACGTTCCTACCCATAGATAGCTGATGGATGGTTGTTCTGTAGCAAGAGAGTTTATACCCAATCTGAATGATATTTAATCCTGTCTAATGTGGCTGTCTCATTGTCCAGATCTTACTAAGCTCTTTGGTCTGCAAGATTCCAGGCTGGGAGGGATCGTCTCATATGCTTCCCATTCCAGGTCAACCCACAGGAGTGCTTTGGGTTTCCAGTATGTGGATTTTCACTTCCTGGATCCAGACAAAGCCAGGAGACACGGATCCATGGTTTCAGATTAGAGTTCCTTCCAAGATTCCAGCTGGTTATTCATTCCATCCACCCCTCTAGCAATATTTCTTCTTTCTCTGTGTGTATCCTCCAGGTGAAAGGAAGCCAGACCATGAATGTCATCAGTGCCATCTTTGCATTACTCGGGATAGTGGCTTTTATAATAGACCTGAACATAAATGGACTGTACCACTCCAACTTTGACTACTACAACTACCTAGTGATGGTAAGATCCCGCGGGCAGCTAGATGCCTAGTCACAGATCATTGGTGTGGAAGGAGCAATTTGAGGAGATCTGGTGCTACCCTAACAGGGATGTAGAGGGAGGAGGATCTAGCCTTCTGTGTAGCAATGGTGACAGTGGCAAGTGGCTCAGATGCTAAGGCAAAGACCATAGCACAGGTTACATTAGCTGGGGTGAGCATTTCGTGGGGGACCCCCTTTTCAGACAAAATGTGCTGCTTTTGTCTGCATTGAAATGTATAAAACAGCAGTATCCATGTTTTGTTTAGGGGGTGGAAATTGGGAAAAAGCAGTTCTGAAAATGTTGAAATGTCCCATTTCAGTATGTACAGAACAGGATGTTTTGAGATGATTATGTTAAAATGAATGTCATCGTTTGGCGTGTATGGATAGATAGATAGAGGATATGGGAATAGATAGATAGACAGGTTGTATGTGGATGGATGGATGGATGGATGGATGGATGGATCAATCAATAGAGGGTATGGGGGTGGATGGATAGATATAAACAAATATAGAAAGGTTAAAATTTGAATGAAAGTGTTTTGTTAAGTCCAGATCCTAAACTGCCCTCCCTGAATCTTCACACAGCATCAGCAAAACTCAAGTCCTTGTCGTGTACTGAGCAAGGCGTAAACCTGAAATAGATTTCCCTGGAGAAGGGATGGTGCTGCTTCTTTGTTAGCTCTGAAGTCTAAGGCAAGAATGAGAAGAGGTTGGGTCCAAGACATTAGAGATGCTAAATAATATGGGTTGACGATTTGGAGAGTGACAAGGTGGTTAAGGTAATATCTTCTCTTGGACCAACACCTGTTAGTCTGAAACAGAACACTTGAACGTGTGTCTCTTTCACCAACAGAAGTTGGTCCAATAAAAGATTTTGCCTCACCCAAATCCTGGGGTTCACACCAGGACAAATCCACAGCTGGTGCAAATCAAACCTGATTTATGCCAGTGATGAATCTGACCTATAGTTTGCAGCAGCCTGGCAGATAGAAAAGCCTGGGCCCCCTGGAATGGATTCTTGGTGCACCCCTTTGGACAAGAAGAAGGACTGCTCTCCCGGGGGGGGGGGGGGGGGGGGGCAGCCCTGGACTGATGAGGGAGGGAGTGATACATAGTACACAGCCCTGGTAGAAGGTTATGTGATGTTAATGGCTCTGCTGTTGTGGTGTTCTGTTATCGAGCAGGCGGGGAACGGGATCTCCATTGTGCTGCTGATCTTCACCATCCTGGAGTTCTGCATCGCAGTGGCCACCGCACTCTTTTGGTGCCGGGCAACCCGTGTCAACTCCAATGAGGTGAGCATTCCGATCCCCCCGCCTGGAAAGCCCGGTGAGAGACTTGCTTCTATGTAACCCCCATCCCTGTTGAGTGGAGCATGTCTCGGGGAGGCATTCGCAGGTTTGGAGAACCTGGGCGCGGTGGCCAACAGGATGCAGATGATAAGAGGAAGATGGCGGTGGGTGCAGAGGTGGTACAGAACCAGGTGATGCAGGCGAGCAGGATGTGGTCCATGGAATCACTGGAGAGATGCCCATGCACCTAAGTGGTCACTGGCTCAGCTCCTTACAGAGCTTGTAGATGATGATATTGGTGCCAATGGAGGCTGCTTTCCCTGTTTTCTAGGCCATGCTTATTGTGCCCAACACCATCAGGGCAGACCTCCTGGTGCCCACAGCAGAGTTGCCTCATCCGCCAACGTACAACGATGCGGTCTATGATCCGAAGGACCAGTCTGAATAGGACCAAGTAGGACCAAGAAGGAACCTGAGGAGAAGCCGGCCCCAGAGCAGAAGCAGCTGCTCCTCCTTTTCCGAGGAGCAAATTCTGGCCCCCTGCCTGCATGACAGATTTTCTTCCATTACTGCCAAAGTTCGCCCCGCTCCTGGACTCTGTCTTGAGTTCCAAGGGAGCCGCTCTCCCCTTCTTCCAAGACAGGCTCAGCCCTGCGTGTTGCCCACAGAGGAGACTTTTAAAGCATGTTCCCTGGTCTCCTCTACCTGGGACCAAGAGGTAACATCTAACCCGCGCCCTGTAGGCTGCATGGGGAATTGGTCAATGAGTCTGCGAAAGGGGCAGCCCATCAGGCGTGCATGAAGGCCCCTTGGGCAGAGCGGTCTGAGAGCAGACTAGCAGCCAGAGCAAAACACCGGGCAGGAGAATCTCCAAGCAAACATGACAGTCACCTGCGTAGCTAGCCATGCTCTCCCAGGCCCCCGTTCAATCCTGCATCAGCACAGAACTCAGCACACGAACTGGGAGTGGCAGCTTGCACTCCTGACCCTCATCCACTTGGAACAGCCTGGAGGGATGCTCTAGCTTGCCCCTGACTGCCCCAGTCCCCGTGGTCCTTGTGGCTGCATGGGGAAATATTCAGCATGCCGGACTGCCTAGCCACACAGCCTGGAAAGCCCTGATCCAGGGGTCTGCTGCACTGGGGAAACAGTCGGGGGTGTTGCTGCTTTGCACCTCTTCGGAATAGCGTAGCCTGTGTACAATGGCTGCAGAATGACTATGTCCCCTCTCTCCCCATCACTGGATTTTGCCCCAGGCAGGGACCCAGCCAGGCCCTCACAGCGGGTGGGTAAAGGACGCAGACTTAGCAACTGACAGCCGGGTATGTGGTGCAAACTGAGGCCTAGTTCTGAGGAGGTACGGTCAGGTAACAAAAATCCCACTATGGTGGGCCTCAGCTCATATAACACACCTCCTCTAGGGGTTGGCAAAGGAGCCTCGGCCGTAACAAAAATATTCCCATTTCCTGGTTCTTCCGCAGGCAGAAGATTGGAGAGCCCTGTCTAGACTGAGGGACCAGGCAAATATGGCTGCCACAAGAAAGAGGCTATTGGTTTATAACCAGTCTCTCTCTCCTTATGGTGCAGCCAGTCCCCAGACAGATGGGCAAGCCTTTTTTCTCCTCTGAAGTGTGACTACATTATTTTTCTCTAATTGCTTATTGACTTCTTTTGAGAAGAGCCTTTTTGGCCAAAAGGTGGGTGGGAAAGTGGGAGAGTCTCCCATTGGCCGGTATAGACCTTGTATCAGGTCCTTTAAGAGCGATCATGGGGAATTTCTTCCAGATATAAAAAGCCTATCTGGAAATCAGGGATCCTTAGCGTGAGGTGACCTTTATAGAAGCCATCCTTTGGCTATGTCTACACTGCAATAGAAGACCTACAGCACTGCCACAGCTGGCCTGGCTCAACTGACTAGGCTTGAGCCTCAGGGCAATACAGCTGCAGTGTGGATATTCATGCTGGAGCCTGGCCTTTGAGACCTTATAAAGAGGGAGACTCTCGGAGCCCGGTCTCCATTTCAGGTCTGAACGTCTACACTGCAGTTTCACAGCCCTCTGAGCCCAAGTCAGCTGTCCAATGCTCTAAGGCTTTGTCTACATTGCAGGGTTTTTGCACAAGAAGCTTTTTGTGGAAGAGATCTTCCGCAAAAACTTCTTGCGTAAAAGCGCGTCCACACCTCAAAAGCGATGTGCTTTTGCAGAAGAGAGCGTCCATACTGCACGGGCACACTTGTTCAAGAAAGTTCTGATGGCTATTCACAGAATGGCATCCGTGCACTTGTGCTTTTTCCGATAGGCTCTTTTTGCACGAGAAACCCCTCTTGAGCGTCCACAGACACCTTTTTGCGCAAGAACTCTTGCACAAAAAGGAGTTATTTCTGTCTTACATGTTCCTATCAGTTACCAAATGTACAACTACAAGGGTATGTCTACACTGTGATAAATGCCTCTCTCCCTCCCCTCCCCCTAGCACTGAGTCTTAGGTTATGTCTACACTACTGGGTTTTTGTGCAAAAACAATTGTTTTTGCACAAAAACCCAGTAGTGTAGACATAACCTAAGACTCAGTGCTAGGGGGAGGGGAGGGAGAGAGGCATTTATCACAGTGTAGACATACCCTTGTAGTTGTACATTTGGTAACTGATAGGAACATGTAAGATATATTGAGACTTGCCTAAATGTCCTGCATCTGGATCAATCTTTTTATGTTTGGTTGTGTTTCTGGTTGGTTTTATTTGACTTTTTAAATAAACCAACTGTTTAAAACTTGAAATCCTGATATCTGGGTATTCTCTGCTTTCTCGGAGCGAGATACACCTTTGGAGCCAGTCTCTCTCTAGAGCTTAGAGCTGGGTGAAAAATGGATGTTTATATTTGTTGGCAATTTCAAAAAAGTTGAGAAAAAATGTGTTTGGGGTCAAACCACAAGCAAGAATGTTCAAAGTTATCAGCAAATCACACAGATAAAAAAAAATATATATTTAGGGATGAAAACAAAGTTTTTTGTTTTGACAAAACGGAACTTTCATTTAGATTTTGACTATTTTTAGGTTTTTTTAACAAAATAAAAAGATTTTAAATGAAAAATTGCTTTGAGCCCATATATTGAAAGGTTACACTTAGAAAACATCCAAACAATTTGACTTTTTTTCAGGAATTTGGGGTGGGAGGAATTTACCCTGAAATAAACCAAGTGGCAACATTCACATGAACTCAACATATTTTTGTGTCACCAAATCTGCATTCGTCACCCAAAAACAGTTTAGCGTGACAAGTTTCACCCAACTCTAGCAGAGAGCCAAGGGTTGAATGGCTCAGAGAAAGCCAATGTCCTCCTCCCCTCTGGAATGCATCATTACTTCTATTATCCCAAATCTGGTGCCAGTATTGACTGGACAAAGCAGGCAGTGGTCCTTGGTACAATCTACCTTTTGGGATAGCTATGCCCTAGGATTTTGCAGTCTGGTATCCAGCTGTGCCAGCCTTTCTGGACTGTCTCTCACAAGAACCACGCAACTCGGAGGACAATGGAGAAACGTCTCTCAGAGCAGTAGGTCCAAGCCCAAGGCCCTGCCCCACCCTTTCCATAACCTCCCATCCTGTGGAGTCAAGCCGTGCCCCTACCCCAGGTTACTGCCCCAAGGCCCAGCAGATGGCATGGCCTCACCCTTCCCAGGCAGCCAGAGCACATGGGGTTGCCACGTCGCAGCCCTCGCAGTGGGCAGCAAACAGTGTAGGCAGTTGTGGGAAGGCAATTGCCTATATTCCCCGCCACCCATGAAGGTGAGCACTGGAGGTAAGTATTGTACGATCAGCGTATTCACTGAGATGAAGGTGTTTGTGACAGGGTGCACCTGGCTTTAAGGGCTCTCTACAGGGGGCCCCAGAGCCCTGGTACACCCTACCTCAGGGAGCAGCGAAGGAATAACGCAGCTCCTGCAAGCCTGTCTGGAGCAGCCATCTTGGAAACTACCGTGACCTGGTCTTCCAAGAGCTACTGACAGCCAGTCAGAGCCCAGCAGCCTCAGGTAAAAGGAGCTGCCGGCCCTTTGCAGGGCGGTCCTGGCTGGGAGCAGAGGAGCTGTACTTCTCTCTGGCCGCAGCCTGAGGATTGGCCAAGATTTATTTGCGGCTGCACTTGCACAGCCGGGTTAGCGGGGAGAGCGGGATCGGAACAGAAGGGGCCAGGGGAGCCATGGGCCCCATCACGGGAGAGAGATGGGGAGGAGGGGCAGAGAGGTGTGAGCGAGGGAGGGGGCAGGGTCTTGAGGGGAAGAGGTAGCGTGGAGGGTAGGGCCTCAGGAAAAGGAGCATTGGGGGAAAAGGCAGGGACGGTGCAGGAGCACCCACCTCCGCCTCTTCCATGCCTCCTTCCCCTGATCCTTGTGCCTGAGCAAAGGGTGAGGATAAAGGGGCCAGATGGGAAGAGGCCCAAGGAAATACAGGCTGACCACCCGTCGACCCCAGTGCAGCAATTGTGCCAGATTTCCCCCCAGTGCCACTCCATGCATGCCCACAGCTCAGCCTCTTGCAGGTGGGGGAGGGAGGTCGAGGTGGGCCTGTCTCCACAGCAGCCCGGAGTCCTTCCGTGGCTCTTACTGTGGCCCAGCTCCACTTTCTGGCCTGGCCAGCGGGGGGGCTAAGAGGAAAAGGAACTGGGGCAGGCTTAGAAAGGGAAGCGGGGCTCCGCCTACACCCCACGTTTGCCTTTTGAGGAGGTGTTCACTCCAGGGCAGGAGCAGCCATGAACGGAATGTGGCTGATGTTGATCAGATCCCTGGGTTAGGATCTGGAGTAGAGGGCAGGCTTGGGTTCCTAACCAGTGAAGTGGGGCGAACCCCAAAGAAGTGGGGCACATGCCTGACCTAAGCCCCCAAAATGGGACCGGATTTGCCTGGAAACCTGAATAAAGGGCTGAATATAAAGGGCCCAGCGCCAGGGCTGAAGACTTGAGGGAGGGCAGGGAACGTATTGACTGGACTCTTTGCCACCTGGTAAGGGGTTCATAATGCCAGGGTGACTTGACCTGAGGGCTGAGCCACCGAAATCCCAGCAGGGTGACCGAGCCTGTGCCAGGAGCGAGGCACGGACTGCAGCCCTGCCCCCAGCCCTAAAAACATCCGCAAGGGAGGCGAGCCCCCCCTACAGCATTAAAATGGAGATCAAGGATCCATCAGAGGGTGGGCTGCTATTTATAGAAACTCAGGCGCAGCGTCTCAGCTGATGCAAATGGCTGCAGCTCCTTTGACTTCAAAGGAGCTGGGCTGATTTCCACCGGCGGAGGATCTGACCTTTGAGCTGCTCGGGTTCACTAGGAAGAAGAGGAATCCTGGTAGCACCGGCCTCCTGCAAATGCCCCCAGGGATTTCTGCTGCACCAGCCCCGAATGCCCCAGAGCTCCAGTTGCAATCAGCAGAGCCGAGCCACTACAATAAACCCACAGCAGCAAGTCGGCACTTGAAAGCGAGCGGTGCAGTTACATAAGGGACTAGATTTAGGGCAACATATGTACACTGGGATAGTAAACAACTTTCATGTTGGCATGATTATGTCACCGACGTTCCTAGACAAACAAACTGCAACACCTGGGATTACTCCTCACAGAGGAAGGAACTCCTCTGGGCAAGTCTAGCCTTTAGGAATAATAAATACCTATTGCTCTTTATCAGCACTAAAGCAGGCCAGTATCATTACTCTTCTTTCACAGCCGGGGAAACTGAGGCACAGCAAAGGACAGTGAAGTGCCCAGCAGCAGGGCAGAGCTGAGAGAAGAATAAAGGTTTCCTGAAATCCCGATCTAGTGCTCTGCCCACAAGGTCACAGCTGAGATTTTTGAAAGTGCCTGGTGATTTTGGGTGCTCTTATGACAGCTTGTAAAGGAGACTGATTTTCCAAGGGTGATAAGCTTCGGGGACACACAGAGCATCTATAAGGTAGGCCGCATATCACAGCATAAGGCAAGGTGGAGCAGATGGTTTAGCATAAGTAATTAGTGCCAGTTAGAAGGGACCATTCAAGGCAGAGCGGCCAGATATCACCTCTGCAGTCATAGGACAAAAAGGGATGAGGTGGGCAGCGTTCCCTGTAAGCTGAGTACTAGGGCAGCCACCCAGGAGAGATTGAAATCCCACTCAGTTTATTAGCAGAGTGCCCACAGCCGGCAGCATGTGCTTCTACTGGTGGTGCACATCAGCACATGCCTTGGTGCACATAACATTTATTCTGCACATGGATGAAAACATCAGAGGGAACATTGGTTACAGGTTGCTGTAATGAGCCTTAAATCCGCTTTCAGAGGGATAGCCACATTAATCGGTGTCAGCAAAAACAACGAGGAGTCCTGTGGTGCCTTAAAGACTAGCAAATGCAGTTGAGCATAAGCATGGGTGGTGGGTTAAAGGCCTGGGTTGGGGAGGCAAACCCCAGCCTCGCCCCTTCCATGCCCACTGGAGCCCAGCCCCCATTGTGGCCACTGTCCCCATCCTGCCCCTCCACCCAGTCTCCTCCATTATGGTGCTGCCCACCCTCACCAAAGGCTATTGCATTATGCCCCCTCCCCCCAGCACCAGAGAGCTGCACAGCTCCAGGTCTGCCTTCCCAGAGCACTGGGCAGCCCTGGCTTCCCCCTCTCCCCACCCCGGAGCAGCCTGTCCTGCTGCGTGCGATGGAAGGAAGCGATTCATGGCTCCAGTGTGCTCTCTGCGGGAGTGGGTCTGCTGCGGGAAGCCGGCATGGTCAGCCGGGAAGATGCTGTGTGAACTGTCCAAAGAGGAATTTCAAAAATCCCTGGGCCCTTAAACAGAGGAGGGGGCATGTGCCTGTGCATGGCAGCAAATTTCAAACTGCAGACAGGAGCAGTCATTGATGGGCATGGTGGGATACATCCTGGAGGACAACTGAAGCAAGCACACTGTGTACACTGCAGGTACGGCTAGACTACAAGTTTTTGTCAGAAAAGGGTACACAAAAAGCACTCTGCATTTTGCGTACTTTTTTCCAATTCTTTTGTCGGAAGAGGCTTTTCCGACATTTGGCCCATCTAGACTAACCCAAATGTCAGAGAAAAAACCCTCTTTTGGAAGCCCCCTTCTTCCTTGTAGAATGAGGAATACAGGGGCTTCCGAAA